TTGTTGCGGAGCACACGCTCTAGGCACGGGGGCTTAGAGGCCTGTAGGGTCTTCCCGGACCAGGGCTTGAACCACTGTGCCGCCAGGGAAGTCTCATCTTCCTCTATCTTTGCAAGGCCCCAGCAATGAGGTTTTTACCTGAGCCTTAGATCCACAGGTCTCTTCCCGGCCACCGCCCACCTGGTACCTCCAGGCCTCTCAGCCCCACCCCTCCCGGATGGCCCCGCCCCCCGCCCTACCAGCCAATCGGAGGCTCCGATCCTGGAGCGTCACAATAACCGCTTCTCAGCCCCGCCCACGGTGTTCCCATGATGACATTAAGCAGCCTGGGTGGAGAGAGCCGGACTTTCCTGGCCACCTCACGCGGGGAGACCGGCACAGGTACACTAGGAACAGGTGAGGGGCTGAGATTGCGGGAAGACAGATTCTTCAAAGCGCCCCGTCCCTCCCCCGCACCCCTCCTTGTTGGTTTGTGAAAATTTTGGCTCCGCCTCATGTGTCTTCTGGTTCAGTCAGCTTCTCATAGGTACCCTGGCCTCTCCTTGTCCCCCAAAACAAAGCTGTAATAACATTGGTTGGGCTCTCTGAGCAAAGTGCACCGAGAACGGAGCCTCCTGAGGGCCTTTCCCTTTGTCAGGGACAGAGGCAGCCTGGCCCAGTTCTGACCATAGGACCAGAGATTGGGGACTGGGGTGTGTGTGGTCTGGGAGAGTTTTGTCCTCGTTAAATGATGTGAGGCGCTGTGGCGCCATCCATGACCATGCGGGGAAGGAAGAGCCTCTTGGAGAAGCGGACTCGGAGCCTTGCTTACAGCCGTTAAGAGGCTAAAGTAGCCAAGCCCAGCACCAGAAATCCCCGTTTCAGCCCTCTCCCTCTCACCACATCTCCAAGCTTTCCAGTTTACCTCACCTTCCCTCTTCCTTGAAGCCCTTGTCGACTAAAAAGTTATTCACCACCTAAAAGTTGAGAGTTATGTTTTATTCAGCGGGAAGTTTTAGGACTTCAAGCCGGGGAGGCAGCATCTCAAGTAACCCTGGGAGAACTGCTCCGAGGAGGCGGGGGCAGGTTATATATGAGTTTTGCAACAAAGGGCAGGTAGTCTGAACGTCAAAAGAGGACTGTTAATTAAAGAAACCCAGATATGTCAAGTTGAGGAATTTCGTGCTTTTCTAGGTATGGGAAGATGCGAGAGTCTGGGCTCACTGCCGTCATATCTTTGATATGCACCTCAGCTATCTGGGGCCAGGATCTTGTGTTTTCATATCCTGAGTTTCCTCAGGGCTCAGTCTAGGGAGTGGCTGCAGTCTGATGGCTACCAGGTGGTAGATATTCTTTCCTTCCCGAGTTTCCTCAGGGCTCACAAGCTCACGCTGGAGGGCTGCAATCGCTGATGACTGTGACATCCTTTGTTTACTGATGTGGCAGGCAATATTCCATTTTTCACCCTTTCCCCACTTGTATTGAGGTGGCATTCCTTGGTCCTTTTTTTTTTTTTTTTTTTTTTTTT